GAGAAGAAGATTTTTGAAATTTTAGTCAATTTGACCCTTTTTGGCCCCACCCCTCAGGCCCCTGGGGGCTTAGGACTAAACCGGCAACTCTTTTTGTTGACCTTTGTCCATGGAAGGTCCCTGCAAAATTTCATTGAAATTGGTTCAGGGGTTTTGGAGAAGAAGTCGAAAATGTAAATTGTTCACGGACGCACGACGGACGACGACGGACAAAAGGCGATCGCAATAGGTCACTTGAGACTTTGTCTCAGGTGACCTAAAAACAAATCACAGTATTTCATTTTCACCAAATTTGCATGGACTTCGTTACCAAACCAGACTGAAGCAAAACACTAAGTGCAAGTAACCTTAATAGTATTTTGAATCTGCACCTCCGCCTAGGAATGCTTCCAGTCAAATTTGATCAAATTTCAATCATTGATTTTAGAACAAGAAGCTGTTTTAAGAAATTGTTGACAAACATCATGGTATGGCATAGGCCCACCTTGGTCCTTAATTGCATGTCTTCTGTCAGAGTCCTATAGAAGTATAGACTGTTACCAAGCAACAAGATGAGTCACCAAAATGACACCTAATTACCACAGAACACCCCCAAACTCTTCTGATTGTTAACTACTTTTCTTTTGTTTCAGGGTACTGCTGTTTTATGTGACAGCTGCCAATGTGACACCTATAGATACAGAAAGTGTACCAGTAGCATACCACCAATTATGTACACTTGGAGACCCATCACATCTCCTAAATCCTGTCATAGTCCCTTCTACACAGCCTATCTCCTAACATCTCCCAATCCTGTCATAGTCCCTTCTACACAGCCTATCTCCCAACATCTCCCAATCCTGTCATAGTCCCTTATATACAGCCTAACTCCCAACATTTACCAATCCTGTCATAGTCCCTTCTACACAGCCTATCTCCTAACATCTCCCAATCCTGTCATAGTCCCTTATATACAGCCTAACTCCTAACATCTACCAATCCTGTCATAGTCCCTTCTACACAGCCTATCTCCTAACATCTCCCAATCCTGTCATAGTCCCTTCTACACAGCCTATCTCCTAACATCTCCCAATCCTGTCATAGTCCCTTCTACACAGCCTATCTCCTAACATCTCCCAATCCTGTCATAGTCCCTTCTACACAGCCTATCTCCTAACATCTCCCAATCCTGTCATAGTCCCTTCTACACAGCCTGTCTCCTAACATCTCCCAATCCTGTCATAGTCCCTTCTACACAGCCTATCTCCTAACATCTCCCAATCCTGTCATAGTCCCTTCTACACAGCCTGTCTCCTAACATCTCCCAATCCTGTCATAGTCCCTTCTACACAGCCTATCTCCTAACATCTCCCAATCCTGTCATAGTCCCTTCTACACAGCCTGTCTCCTAACATCTCCCAATCCTGTCATAGTCCCTTCTACACAGCCTATCTCCTAACATCTCCCAATCCTGTCATAGTCCCTTCTACACAGCCTGTCTCCTAACATCTCCCAATCCTGTCATAGTCCCTTCTACACAGCCTATCTCCTAACATCTCCCAATCCTGTCATAGTCCCTTCTACACAGCCTGTCTCCTAACATCTCCCAATCCTGTCATAGTCCCTTCTACACAGCCTATCTCCTAACATCTCCCAATCCTGTCATAGTCCCTTCTACACAGCCTGTCTCCTAACATCTCCCAATCCTGTCATAGTCCCTTCTACACAGCCTATCTCCTAACATCTCCCAATCCTGTCATAGTCCCTTCTACACAGCCTGTCTCCTAACATCTCCCAATCCTGTCATAGTCCCTTCTACACAGCCTATCTCCTAACATCTCCCAATCCTGTCATAGTCCCTTCTACACAGCCTGTCTCCTAACATCTCCCAATCCTGTCATAGTCCCTTCTACACAGCCTATCTCCTAACATCTCCCAATCCTGTCATAGTCCCTTCTACACAGCCTGTCTCCTAACATCTCCCAATCCTGTCATAGTCCCTTCTACACAGCCTGTCTCCTAACATCTCCCAATCCTGTCATAGTCCCTTCTACACAGCCTGTCTCCTAACATCTCCCAATCCTGTCATAGTCCCTTCTACACAGCCTGTCTCCTAACATCTCCCAATCCTGTCATAGTCCCTTCTACACAGCCTGTCTCCTAACATCTCCCAATCCTGTCATAGTCCCTTCTACACAGCCTGTCTCCTAACATCTCCCAATCCTGTCATAGTCCCTTCTACACAGCCTGTCTCCTAACATCTCCCAATCCTGTCATAGTCCCTTCTACACAGCCTGTCTCCTAACATCTCCCAATCCTGTCATAGTCCCTTCTACACAGCCTGTCTCCTAACATCTCCCAATCCTGTCATAGTCCCTTCTACACAGCCTGTCTCCTAACATCTCCCAATCCTGTCATAGTCCCTTCTACACAGCCTGTCTCCTAACATCTCCCAATCCTGTCATAGTCCCTTCTACACAGCCTGTCTCCTAACATCTCCCAATCCTGTCATAGTCCCTTCTACACAGCCTGTCTCCTAACATCTCCCAATCCTGTCATAGTCCCTTCTACACAGCCTGTCTCCTAACATCTCCCAATCCTGTCATAGTCCCTTCTACACAGCCTGTCTCCTAACATCTCCCAATCCTGTCATAGTCCCTTCTACACAGCCTGTCTCCTAACATCTCCCAATCCTGTCATAGTCCCTTCTACACAGCCTGTCTCCTAACATCTCCCAATCCTGTCATAGTCCCTTCTACACAGCCTGTCTCCTAACATCTCCCAATCCTGTCATAGTCCCTTCTACACAGCCTGTCTCCTAACATCTCCCAATCCTGTCATAGTCCCTTCTACACGGTCTATCTCCTAACATCTCCCAATCCTGTCATAGTCCCTTCTACACAGCCTGTCTCCTAACATCTCCCAATCCTGTCATAGTCCCTTCTACACAGCCTGTCTCCTAACATCTCCCAATCCTGTCATAGTCCCTTCTACACAGCCTGTCTCCTAACATCTCCCAATCCTGTCATAGTCCCTTCTACACAGCCTGTCTCCTAACATCTCCCAATCCTGTCATAGTCCCTTCTACACAGCCTGTCTCCTAACATCTCCCAATCCTGTCATAGTCCCTTCTACACAGCCTGTCTCCTAACATCTCCCAATCCTGTCATAGTCCCTTCTACACAGCCTGTCTCCTGACATCTCCCAATCCTGTCATAGTCCCCTCTACACGGTCTATCTCCTTACATCTACCAATTCTGTCATAGTCCCTTATATACAGCCTGTCTCCTGACATCTCCCAATTCTGTCATAGTCCCTTCTACACAGCCTGTCTCCTGACATCTTCCAATCCTGTCATAGTCCCCTCTACACGGTCTATCTCCTGACATCTCCCAATCCTGTCATAGTCCCTTCTACACAGCCTATCTCCTAACATCTACCAATCCTGTCATAGTCCCTTCTACACGGTCTATCTCCTGACATCTCCCAATCCTGTCATAGTCCCCTCTACACAGTCTATCTCCTAACATCTCCCAATCCTGTCATAGTCCCCTCTACACAGCCTGTCTCCTAACATCTCCCAATCCTGTCATAGTCCCTTCTACACAGCCTATCTCCTAACATCTCCCAATCCTCTCATAGTCCCTTCTACACAGCCTGTCTCCTTACATCTCCCAATCCTGTCATAGTCCCCTCTACACAGCTTGTCTCCTAACATCTCCCAATCCTGTCATAGTCCCTTCTACACAGTCTATCTCCTAACATCTTCAATCCTGTCATAGTCCCTTTTTCAAACCCCATCTCAAATTACATCTTATGTGAATGTTAATCTTAATCATAGTCTAATAACAATTGTCTTGGAAAGGGACTATGGAGAATTAATGCAAATTTATTCCATAACATATGACTACACAACATCTCTATAGGTGTTAACTGATTATTTGGGATTTGTGTTAACAAATGACTTCGGAGTTCTAACATGGTCAAAGTTGACAAGCCTATCTGATCAAGTTCCTTAAACAGCTATGAAATCATTTGCAAACATAGCAACATTTATAACTCTCTACATATTAATAAACACAGTTATCAAATATAATGCCAAGAAACATTTAAGGCGAATCAGTAAGATTTTCTACAGGAAACTTACTACAGTACACAATACAACATGGTGCCTATCTACATTATGAACAACACAGTCACTTGTTGACAATGACTGTGAAATGTCTACGCTATGTATGCACAAACCTTACTCTATCCACACATCCTTAAACTAGGTTGACAACTCAATAGACACAAATAGACTAGGGTACTGACCCTGGAAATCTGGTCATCAAAGCCCTGTGCTTGGACAGCGACCGGCGTGTCGGGGGTCAGCTGTGGACTGCTCGACTGGTAGCCTTCCGGGCTACGTGGGGGAGGGGCCTGTGAATACATGGGATGCTGGTTATGCTGTGGGGTAGGAGTTTTGGGGGTAAGGGCTGGAGATTTGGGTGGTAAGTCGGATTGTGGGACCAATGTTATTGGAGGAGGAGGATGGTGTTTCAGTTCGTGCGGAAGCAGCCGGTGACGATAGTCCAAATCTCTCACATGACGTTGTTCCCGAACCATCTCTGCGGTTTTCAGCGAGAGATGAGATGCCTCGTCCATGTGGCTGATGTCTCCGTTTGTCTGCTGTTTGTCCCGATTGCCCATTCAGTGAGTGGTGGAAGACCAGAGAAGGAATACAGAAAGAAAAAAAAGGGCATGCAACAGTTAGACAAAAATCACATCCAAACAACAGGTCTTTACTGCAACAACACAGCACCACAGACACCATCATCCATAAACAACACATCTACCTTCATCGTTTTTTCAAAATAGTATTTATTGATTTCTAAAAAAAAAAAAAATTGTTCAGCTTATAAATTTTACCAGTACTATCATCTGTTTAAAAAATTCCAAAGTGATTTGAAGTTACAAGTTTCTTTTAACATTTTTTTATCCAAAATTTTAAATCTAAAATATAAGAATTATTTTGACAAACTTGTACATATATATATATGTACTTCTTTATCACAAATTTATATTTAATCTGTTTATGAAATTTTCAAGCATATCATTGATCCTGATCTACCCAGATCAAACTGATCACCAAGTCGACCAAATGTTTGATCTGTGATGCTGTGTTGACATGATGACAGAGGATTTTGCATGCTTATCTACCTCCTTCTGATGAATAATTATTATTTACAAAATGCACACATTAATGAAGAAATGTCTGTACATAAATATAGATAGATATTAACAATACACCTGCCACATGCCAAACAAGATACCATCTGTGAGAAAGACCAAAAACTGTGTGGTTTTATGTGAAATATCTGTTCAGCCCTAACACTGTTACCGTGACAACCAGACTGTAGACTCTCCTAATTACTCCATGTTCAATGGAAACCGTCAGAAATAATGGTTTTATTTGTAACATTTTTACTTAGTAGTTTATCACAAATATAGAAACTCTAATTTTGTTATTATCATGATAACTATTTTCTGTTGAATTTCTATGGAAGTCGAAAAATATTGTAATAATTGTGGAAATTCTTGATTCTGTAGAAATAAGAAATTAGATAAACATTGAAATCTGCCTAGACTCAATAACTCATGGACAACATTTATTGTTCAGAGTACATAGGTTCTATGATTGCATGGGTTTATCTAGTTTATACAGGGTTCAGTTTACACAAGTTGCACTGAAGCATGTTTCCCTTGATAAGCTATGCAGTAATTAACATTCTATACTTATTTCCAAATGATCAAATATAGTTATCGTAAGTAAAATTTGATTTCTTCTTATTGCCAGAATTAATGTTTGTCAAAAAATTCACACATTACCAATGGAGCTTTCCAATTACCTCATTAGAACTCTATGTCCACCTCAACTTATATGACTAGTTGTATAGATATCAACAGCCCGGTTGTCTGTGTAACTTAAAGGATGACAGAAGCAAGCATAAGCCACTTTATTAGTTCATTGTTATTTACATCAAAAGCTTAAGGAACTCTCAGGTCATGTTCTCTGCTGTTACAGTTTCTATACAAGGAACTCTCAGGTCATGTTCTCTGCTGTTCCAGTTTCTATACAAGGAACTCTCAGGTCATGTTCTCTGCTGTTATAGTTTCTATACAAGGAACTCTCAGGTCATGTTCTCTGCTGTTACAGTTTCTATACAAGGAACTCTCAGGTCATGTTCTCTGCTGTTACAGTTTCTATACAAGGAACTCTCAGGTCATGTTCTCTGCTGTTACAGTTTCTATACAAGGAACTCTCAGGTCATGTTCTCTGCTGTTACAGTTTCTATACAAGGAACTCTCAGGTCATGTTCTCTGCTGTTACAGTTTCTATACAAGGAACTCTCAGGTCATGTTCTCTGCTGTTACAGTTTCTATACAAGGAACTCTCAGGTCATGTTCTCTGCTGTTACAGTTTCTATACAAGGAACTCTCAGGTCATGTTCTCTGCTGTTACAGTTTCTATACAAGGAACTCTCAGGTCATGTTCTCTGCTGTTACAGTTTCTATACAAGGAACTCTCAGGTCATGTTCTCTGCTGTTACAGTTTCTATACAAGGAACTCTCAGGTCATGTTCTCTGCTGTTACAGTTTCTATACAAGGAACTCTCAGGTCATGTTCTCTGCTGTTACAGTTTCTATACAAGGAACTCTCAGGTCATGTTCTCTGCTGTTACAGTTTCTATACAAGGAACTCTCAGGTCATGTTCTCTGCTGTTACAGTTTCTATACAAGGAACTCTCAGGTCATGTTCTCTGCTGTTACAGTTTCTATACAAGGAACTCTCAGGTCATGTTCTCTGCTGTTACAGTTTCTATACAAGGAACTCTCAGGTCATGTTCTCTGCTGTTACAGTTTCTATACAAGGAACTCTCAGGTCATGTTCTCTGCTGTTACAGTTTCTATACAAGGAACTCTCAGGTCATGTTCTCTGCTGTTACAGTTTCTATACAAGGAACTCTCAGGTCATGTTCTCTGCTGTTACAGTTTCTATACAAGGAACTCTCAGGTCATGTTCTCTGCTGTTACAGTTTCTATACAAGGAACTCTCAGGTCATGTTCTCTGCTGTTACAGTTTCTATACAAGGAACTCTCAGGTCATGTTCTCTGCTGTTACAGTTTCTATACAAGGAACTCTCAGGTCATGTTCTCTGCTGTTACAGTTTCTATACAAGAAACTCTCAGGTCATGTTCTCTGCTGTTACAGTTTCTATACAAGAAACTCTCAGGTCATGTTCTCTGCTGTTACCGTTTTATATACAAGGAACTCTCAGGTCATGTTCTCTGCTGTTACAGTTTCTATACAAGGAACGCTCAGGTCATGTTCTCTACTGTTACAGTTTCTATACAAGGAATGCCTAAGTCATATTCTCTGCTGTCAACGTTTCTATACAAGAGGCCCAGAGGGCCTGTATCGCTCACCTGGATATCTTAGCAAGCATGGCAAAATATTCTCCAAATAAGATCCAAGGGAATGGGCCAGACCCCAAGGCCAATCCTTGTAGCATATCTGTATTAGATTTTTCATGCCCAGCAATTTTGTTGTTGGTTATGGGGTGGGGATCTCAACTGTTTCCAAGGTGTGACTCAGAAACTAGGTTCCTAAGGTTGTGGCCGGACCCAAGGATCAATTATAATATCATGGCTGCATTCATCTCTTTATTCCAAGCATTTTTATATACAGTTTTGGGGTGGGGATATCAACCGTTTCAAAGTTATGACCCAGAGACTGTCTCCAAGGGTGGGGCCAGACTCCAGGGCCATCCTGAAAGCATATGTGCATTCTTCTTTTTTTACTTAGGAATTGTATATATGGTTATAGGGTGGGGATGTCAAGCAGTTCCAAGCAATAAACTATTTTTTTTGCCCCGCCCAGGAGGTCAGCCCCACCATTTGTACAATTTTGAAACCCCGCCTCCCATGAATGCTTCCGACCAAATATGATTGATATCCAGTGCACAGTTCTACAGAAGAAGTCGTTTATAGCAATATGGCCTAATTGCCCCCTTTTGGCCCTGCCCTACCATTGGTACAATGTTGAATCCCCACCTCCTAGGGATGCTTCGAGTCAAATTTAGTTAAATTCCAATCAGTGGCTAAGAAGAAGAAGTCGTTTGAAGAAATTGTCGACAGACGGACTGACGCCATGGTATATATGGCATAAGCTGCGAACAAGGAATGCTCAAGTCATGTTTTCCGATGTTACGTTTTTATGCTGCAATCAGGCAAGAGCAGAAATGTGCATCATTTAGTGCATGTTACTCTCAATTAGTGTATAACATTACAGTCAGGAATATAGATACATTTTAATTTGGAAGAAAACATGTTGAGAGGTTGATAGATTTAGCTACAAGTATACGGTAAAAGTTTTCTTAGATACTTGTAAAACCAAACAGAGAAGATGCCTTACCTGGCACCGGAGTTATATTATAGGTAGTTTTCATTATTTACAAATACGAACTGTAGTAAAATTTTAGCCATTTACTACTTTTGGGCCCTGCAATCTTATTGCTAGCTCATCAAATTATTCCAAACAAGTCCACCTAAGTTTGAATAATTTCCTGCTGAAAATGGTCAAAATATACCCAAAAGTGATACTTCCCTATATAAGTTTTAAACTTATAACTCGACCCCCACCACAAGGGAGAACAGATGACCCGAGGTTACTGAAATTTACAATTTGAACGATGACCTGAGTTACTGAAATTTACAATTTGAATGATGACCTGAGTTACTGAAATTTACAATTTGAATGATGACCTGAGTTTCTGAAATTTACAATTTGAACGATGACCTGAGTTACTGAAATTCACAATTTGAACGATGACCTGAGTTACTGAAATTCACAATTTGAATAACGTCCCTGATGATATTTCAATCAATGAAGAGAATCAGATGCTAGTACATCGGAGTCTACAGAATATTTTTGAAATATTGGGGTTGGGGCAGGAAGCCCAATTTATTTGATTCGATACCCTCTTTCTACAAGGATGATTCTAACCAAGATTGAATGAATTTAACATGTTGTGTTTGATTTGAGTTTAAATTTTAAAGTATTTGCTGGGGGAAATTACAAAGAAAAAATCCCATTTCTAAACTGTACAATCTACAAATAAAACATTTCATTTCTTTTTTAATTAAAATGGTTACTAAAATCTGGCATGGGCAGATGAGTTAATCAACTTAACTGAAAATTTCTTATATTCTAAAAAGGATAAATATTATAACTAGAATAACAATCTATCAATCCCAACAAATCTTGTGGAATGAAAAATATGTTATACCTTCTAATGAAAATGATAAGACTACTACATTACATCTATATCTCTGAATATAATGATGAATCTATGATCATTGCATTAAATTCCAAGTCAAACATACATAATAATAGTATTTCACAAGCCTATAGAAGTAGAACTGAAAAAATCATACATAACACATTCTATATCATACCTGATGGAAGTCTATATATTCATAGCAAATATAAATCTATCACCAGTTTCATATATATACTAAATGCTGTATAAACAGAAAACATGAACAAGGATACTTAAATAGAATATATTTCTAGCTACACATGGAGTTAGGTGAGGATAATATCAAAATAAAACCTGTTGGAAAATGAGCAAAGGAGAGTTCCCAGTTCACATGGTCTCTTAATGTTGAAATGAAACACTGGACAGGCAAACATTTTTCCAAAAAAATCCAAACATCTTTTTTATTTTGATAAAAAGTCAGTCATATTCAGTCCTATATAGGATGTTTTAAGAGTTATTTTGAAAAGTAATTTCTCAGTCATATTCAGTGCTATATAGGATGTTTTAAGAGTTATTTTGAAAAGTAATTTCTCAGTCATATTCAGTCCTATATAGGATGTTTTAAGAGTTATTTTGATAAGTAATTTCTCAGTCACATTCAGTCCTATATAGGATGTTTTAAGAGCACCCTTTCATACCTAGACATGGTCTCATTAATCTCTCAGTATTAAAACTTTATTGTGCCTTTACCACTAATCAGAATACAATGTTTTTACCACTTATCATAATGCAATGTTTTACCACTTATCAGAATACAATGTTTTACCACTTATCATAATGCAATGTTTTACCACTTATCAGAATACAATGTTTTACCACTTATCAGAATACAATGTTTTACCACTTATCAGAATACAATGTTTTACCACTTATCATAATGCAATGTTTTACCACTTATCAGAATACAATGTTTTACCACTTATCAGAATACAATGTTTTACCACTTATCAGAATACAATGTTTTACCACTTATCATAATGCAATGTTTTACCACTTATCAGAATACAATGTTTTACCACTTATCAGAATACAATGTTTTACCACTTATCAGAATACAATGTTTTACCACTTATCATAATGCAATGTTTTACCACTTATCAGAATACAATGTTTTACCACTTATCAGAATACAATGTTTTACCACTTATCAGAATACAATGTTTTACCACTTATCATAATGCAATGTTTTACCACTTATCAGAATACAATGTTTTACCACTTATCAGAATACAATGTTTTACCACTTATCAGAATACAATGTTTTACCACTTATCATAATGCAATGTTTTACCACTTATCAGAATACAATGTTTTACCACTTATCAGAATACAATGTTTTACCACTTATCAGAATACAATGTTTTACCACTTATCATAATGCAATGTTTTACCACTTATCAGAATACAATGTTTTACCACTTATCAGAATACAATGTTTTACCACTTATCAGAATACAATGTTTTACCACTTATCATAATGCAATGTTTTACCACTTATCAGAATACAATGTTTTACCACTTATCAGAATACAATGTTTTACCACTTATCAGAATACAATGTTTTACCACTTATCATAATGCAATGTTTTACCACTTATCAGAATACAATGTTTTACCACTTATCAGAATACAATGTTTTACCACTTATCAGAATACAATGTTTTACCACTTATCATAATGCAATGTTTTACCACTTATCAGAATACAATGTTTTACCACTTATCAGAATACAATGTTTTACCACTTATCAGAATACAATGTTTTACCACTTATCATAATGCAATGTTTTACCACTTATCAGAATACAATGTTTTACCACTTATCAGAATACAATGTTTTACCACTTATCAGAATACAATGTTTTACCACTTATCATAATGCAATGTTTTACCACTTATCAGAATACAATGTTTTACCACTTATCAGAATACAATGTTTTACCACTTATCAGAATACAATGTTTTACCACTTATCAGAATACAATGTTTTACCACTTATCAGAATACAATGTTTTACCACTTATCAGAATACAATGTTTTACCACTTATCAGAATACAATGTTTTACCACTTATCAGAATACAATGTTTTACCACTTATCAGAATACAATGTTTTACCACTTATCAGAATACAATGTTTTACCACTTATCAGAATACAATGTTTTACCACTTATCAGAATACAATGTTTTACCACTTATCAGAATACAATGTTTTACCACTTATCAGAATACAATGTTTTACCACTTATCAGAATACAATGTTTTACCACTTATCAGAATACAATGTTTTACCACTTATCAGAATACAATGTTTTACCACTTATCAGAATACAATGTTTTACCACTTATCAGAATACAATGTTTTACCACTTATCAGAATACAATGTTTTACCACTTATCAGAATACAATGTTTTACCACTTATCAGAATACAATGTTTTACCACTTATCAGAATACAATGTTTTACCACTTATCAGAATACAATGTTTTACCACTTATCAGAATACAATGTTTTACCACTTATCAGAATACAATGTTTTACCACTTATCAGAATACAATGTTTTACCACTTATCAGAATACAATGTTTTACCACTTATCATAATGCAATGTTTTACCACTTATCAGAATACAATGTTTAACCACTAATCAGAATACAATGTTTTACCACTTATCAGAATACAATGTTTTACCACTTATCAGAATACAATGTTTTTACCACTTATCAGAATACAATGTTTTTACCACTTATCAGAATACAATGTTTTTACCACTTATCAGAATACAATGTTTTTACCACTTATCAGAATACAATGTTTTTACCACTTATCAGAATACAATGTTTTTACCACTTATCAGAATACAATGTTTTTACCACTTATCAGAATACAATGTTTTTACCACTTATCAGAATACAATGTTTTTACCACTAATCAGAATACAATGTTTTTACCACTTATCATAATGCAATGATTTTACCACTTATCAGAATACAATGTTTTTACCACTGATCAGCATACAATGTTTTTACCACTTATCAGAATACAATGTTTTTACCACTTATCATAATGCATTTTTTTTTACCACTGATCATAATGCAATGTTTTACCACTTATCAGAATACAATGTGTTTACCTCTTATCAGCATACAATGTTTTTACCACTTATCAGAATACAATGTTTTTACCACTAATCAGAATACAATGTTTTTACCACTTATCATAATGCAATGATTTTACCACTTATCAGAATACAATGTTTTTACCACTGATCAGCATACAATGTTTTTACCACTTATCAGAATACAATGTTTTTACCACTTATCAGAATACAATGTCAATTTCCATTTTACAATGATGAGTTTAAGGACTGATAGTCACAAAATATTCAGATTCAACAAAAATCTGAACTAAATTTATCTTAGTTACTTATTAATCCCCACCGGGAAAGCATTGCCCATCAGTTACCATAGAGAATCGGATATTTGTTTTTTGCCCAAACTGCCCTTTTTCCATTGATGTGTTTGTGTAATAGTTCCCACTGATTCTCTAGATTTATATGACATGGCATTATTATCTCTAAGGTTTCATGAAATTAGTACAATTTTGAAAATTTTGAAAAAATAAGGTAAATTGCATTCGGAGTGTGGCGGATTACCGAACAAGTGGCCAAAACCCCCTGAACTGGATGTATAATGAAATCAAAGGTTTCAATTTGGATTTATTAACAAATCTCATATGCATGCAAATCATCATCAAACAAATGATCACTTGTCCTCCATATGGACAGTAAAGGTAACAGACATGATAGAATCTGTTAAAACTTTAGTAATGGCTGAAATGCTTTGAAATGAGATCTCATATCTTATATATCATGCAAAACAGACCACCATACCCAGACATTCTTGTGTTTGACAACATTGAAATGAAGTCTGAAATTCTGACTCAAATATTGTAGAAACAAGTAAAAAGAAAGTGTTTTTTTGCAATTCTTACGAGATTTTTGGTATGAAAATAGCCAAACATTTTGAATTTAAATATCATAGAAATCAGTATTTTTTTTTTTTTATCAAAATTGAGTTGAAATCACAATTCTTACGAGATTATTAGTATGAAAATAGCCAAACATTTTGAATTTAAATATCATAGAAATCAGTATATATTTTTTTTAATATCAAAATTGAGTTGAAATTTAAAGCACTACCAAGTGTTTCAGTGTCCAACAGTGAGAGACCAGACAGAGCACAGAGCATTGTCCTAAGCGAGGTGTAACAGCAGGTTCACGTCTATAAAACAGGGACAGTGAGTCTGTGTGCCTACCTCTGTAGTCGACCAGCCACATTTCTCTATGCTGTCGGTGGTGCTGTACCCAGAGTCACTACTCAGCACCGTGTGACGTTTCCAGGCCTTACTCTCTGGTGACTCCAACATGTTGCGGAATTCCTCTGATGATCTGTAATTCATAAATGTAATAAAGACATTGATTCGTTTAGGATTGATACAGCCCGGGTCAAAAGTGTTGGAGCAAGCGACTCCAATCTCTAACTAGGGTGGGGTTTTGTTCCCTTATCCTCCTTATGAATGAAACCAATAGAGCACTTACATGTTAGTAAGGGCCACACCATGTGTCCTAACATAACCCTACCTGGTCTATTTTAAGTAACAGCGACCTCGTCCTTGACATTCAAAACTTTTTAAACTCCTATTGCATATCTAAATAACTCAGTGTATCACCATGTCAAATTTCAAATTGATTAGTGTTCTGGATTCTGAGATAAGGACCGTACACTCTTGTTCAGAAAGATTGGTCTTTTGGATTCCGAATTAGTTGCCGGAAACGGAAAAGTGAACAGATGGATGGACAGAGTAATTACTAAAGGGCAGCCACATCTCTGATCCACGGCCCTAATTATCACATTAATTTGAGATTTCATTTTGTATAAATAGATTTGTTGGTCAAGAATTTCAGAACCAAAATTAAACTTTGATGTGCAGGAATGTTTAATTATGATTTTTCATGAAATCAATGATATGCTAACCAGTGCAGCATACTGGATTTCATACCCACTGATAATAAAAGGTGACAGTATAAGTTAAAAATCCATCTACATAATTGATACATAATTTACTCATCCTCGTCCATATATCCAACATGAACAGGAAGCACATTGTTATATATATACTTTTACATTTTCTTGGGAATGGTATACTAGGATCAACCTTTTTGTGAAAATGCTATAAAACTTTTAATGTTTCATGAGATTTTGCTGATATTGGATTCAAAATTCTATCTTAATAAATATCCAAAAACTTGTGAGATTTCCAATAATGATTTCTTGACATTGAACTTTTGTAGAACTGGAGATTTTAGCGAATAAGCAGTGCTACATCTTTATCGTTTGTAACATGATTGCTGTGAGTGATGGGACAGACACGTACAGGGACTGCTGTGGTGGTAGAGATTTTCTGAGACGTTTCATTTCAGCATCGTTCATGACGCCTCTTTTCCTCTCCTCCCTGATAGCCTCTATCTGAAGGAACTTCATGATGTGCTGTTTACCTTTGGTACATACCTGATGAACACAAACAAACAAACAACATGAACAAGTCACCTATACCAGGTACATAACCATATAACTTGACCAAACATAACCATATAACTTGACCAAACAATATTTCTCAAAATCCATATATAATATGATTTACATTATCTATAGTAATCTATAAACAATATGATTAACATTATCTGTAGTTTTAAATTTTCAAATATATTTCTCAAAATCCATATATAATATGATTTACATTATCTATAGTAATCTATATACAATATGATTTACATTATATCTATAGTTTTAAATTTTCAAATCATATACTCTCCTTCCACATTTTCCCCTCTAAAAAACATTTGAAAACAACACATATATTCAATAAGTTGCTGAATTGTAAATAAATTCAAATATCTTGTACACCAACTCTATAAAAACATGCAAATTCGTGGAATTTATATCCCCCGCTTGCAGGACATATTGTAGGTAAACATGATTAAAGTTATAGGTTTGAACATGTGAGTATCGTGCTGTTGAGACATAATGTATAGCTTGAAACTTGTGGGTATTACAGTGTAAATTAATCGTTTAATCCATCAGAATTTACTAACCTCATTAATTATCCGTAAATATGCACAAATGACATTGGTTGGCAAACTTAGCATGAGTCGGATGTGCATACGGAATTTGGTTGAAATATCTGCACAATATCTACAGCAATTTTCACACGAAAACCAAAGAGTGCCCGAGCCAGGTGGAAGACAGAGGAACACAAACATCAAGTTTGAAGGAATTTGGCTAATATTTGCTGAGTTATTAAGCGGAAACTGCAGATAATGATGTTTTTCGTCCTCGAACTTGGCTGAGCCCTTAAGGCATTTAACCCTGGTACCAAGTTTGAAGAAAATTGGTTAACATTTGTTGCAGTTATTGCACGGAAACGAAGCGTGACAGACAGGCAGACAGACAAACTCAAATTAATATCCCTCGTTTCGGTGAAAGCGGGGGATAAAAAATTGAAAATCAAGGTTATTTTTTGCAGGCACTAGTTTCCTTCACTAAATGGTTTTGAAGGTCTGCATATACATAATCAGTTTTAACTACATTTGCCGCAATGTAACAGAACACTGCAGTAAGAGGGGTTTTGTTCCCTTATCCTCCTTATGAATGAAATCAAGTGCAAATTACATTTAGTAAAAAAACGATGCATCTTTGCTTTCATTTGTGACGCAGTTTTAGAGTTTACTGTATTCTCTGGGGGGTTTCTGATAGTAGGGTAAGTATTGAACTAGAACTGTAAGCATACTACTACCCCCCCCCCCCCCCCCCCCCTCCCCCCATTATGCCATTAAGTATGTGTCCTCTATGGATCACTCCAAAGATTAATCAACAAAGCTAACCACATAGAACTCATAGTATAACTGATATTTTCTCAGCCAATCACAGTGATCTCAAATCCTTCAATGTAAACATCAGTAAACATCAACATAAGTTTGGACGGACAGACTGACCAGTAAACATTGACACAAGTTTGGACGGCCAGACTGACCAGTAAACATCGACACAAGTTTGGACAGACAGACTCACTCAGATCAATAAACATCGACATAAGTTTGGACGGACAGACTCACTCAGACCAGTAAACATTGACATAAGTTTGGACGGCCAGACTGACCAGTAAACATTGACACAAGTTTGGACAGACAGACCGACTCACCAGTAAACATTGACATAAGTTTGGACGGCCAGACTGACCAGTAAACATCGACACAAGTTTGGACAGACAGACACACTCAGATCAATAAACATCGACATAAGTTTGGACGGACAGACTCACTCAGACCAGTAAACATTGACATAAGTTTGGACGGCCAGTCTGACCAGTAAACATTGACACAAGTTTGGACGGCCAGACTGACCAGTTTTAACGGCCATACTGACCAGTAAACATTGACACAAGTTTGGACAGACAGACTGACTCACCCAGTAAACATCGGCATAAGTTTGGACAGACAGACTGACCAGTAAACAACTATACAAGTTTGGACGGACAGACTGACCAGTAAACATCAACACAAGTTTGGACGGACAGACTGACCAGTAAACATTGACACAAGTTTGGAAGACAGACTGACCAGTAAACATTGACACAAGTTCTGACGGACAGACTGACCAGTAAACATCTACACAAGTTTTGACGGACAGACTGACCAGTAAACATTGATACAAGCTGCAACAAAAGACTCTCAAAGAGTTTAAAGCCCTTCTATGATGTCTGTGAGAGGAGCAGACTTACGTGAGCTGGTGGCTGGGTTAACGGATTGTTGTCAAGGACTATTTCTTCTAAGGTTTCTATTTTTCGAAACAATGTGGGTATCTTGGAGATTTTATTGCTTGAAAAGTCCAGCTTTCGTAGATTTAATTTACTAATTTCTGAAAAGATAAAAAGATAAAATTGCATGAAAAAATACGGTTTAAGATGTTTCAAGGACTTTAAAAACGTATTAATTTATATCTGCTGGGAAATAAAAAAAAGTTACACAAGGATTTAGCAAATTTTGAATACAACTCAATTGGTTACAACAATATGTTCAGAATAGATTACCATATTTTTCAAAATCTTCATTACAAGTGTGAACCACTATTAGATACAACACTACTTACCTATTGGTAATTCAATCAAAAGGTTGCGCCGAACATTGAGGGATCGGAGAGACTTCAAGTCTCCTATCTGGCTAGGAAGGTGTGAAATCTCATTACAACTCACATCCTGAAATGACAACATATGCCATTTGGATTTAGGGATATACGCTGCCTTTCAACATTTTACCTGTGTTGTATCAAAGCATGCATCTGTCTCATCAATGAATTACTTCAAATGAAATTTACATTCATGAAATATCAGAGTACTTTATGAACTTTTCTGAAAGGTAATTATAATGCATGTCACTTTGTAATCAGGTGCATACACCCCTGATCTGATATTTCTTTATACTAAAAACATGTTTTGATTTACTTGTCTTACAGTTCTAAGTGGGTTTTCTTTTTAGATATTACCTGGCATTATCAGTAATTTACTGACTACGAAAAACTTTGAAACTCTGAAATGACGTGTGTTTTTTGAGGAAACGGGGATCCTGTCTTTTTTAAAAGAAACAAATATCCATCTATCCAACAGTACTAAGCATTTTCCCGTAGAACAACTAGAAATGTTGTTTTTGATGCAAGACAGTTAGGTGGGGTTGACATTTCGACATCAAGAGCTTTCCTCCCTTCTCGAATATATGAACCTTGGGGGTGTCATTTTTACCGAAAGTCGATCTAAACCCCTAAAACATGTAAAAATTATTAGTTTAGGTCCAAATATAGCTGTAACAAATTTTCAAGTCCCTGTGTGTGTGACGTCTGTAAGATATAAAGTATCAAGCTGACTATACTGTGAGATATAGAGTATCAAGCTGACTATACTGTGAGACATCTGTAAGTTATATAGTATCAAGTTGACTACACTGTGAGACATCTGTAAGTTATAGAGCATCAAGCTGACTATACTGTGATATGTCTGTAAGTTTGAGTATCAAGCTGACTATAATGAGAGATGTCTGTAAGTGATAGAGTATCAAGTTGACCACACTGTGATATGTCTGTAAGATATAGAGTATCAAGTTGACTATACTGCGAGACGTCTGTAAGTGATAGAGTATCAAGTTGACTATACTGTGAGACATCTGTAAGTGATAGAGTATCAAGTTGACCATACTGTGAGACATCTGTAAGTTATAGAGTATCAAGCTGACTATAATGTGAGACGTCTGTAAGTTTGAGTATCAAGCTGACTATATTGAGAGATGTCTGTAAGTGATAGAGTATCAAGTTGACTATACAGCGAGACGTCTGTAAGATATAGAGTATCAAGCTGACTATTCTGTGAGACATCTGTAAGATATAGAGTATCAAGCTGACTATACTGTGATATGTCTGTTAGATATAGAGTATAAAGCTGACTATACTGTGATCATGATATGTCTGTTAGATATAGAGTATCAAGCTGACTAAACTGTGATATGTCGGTAAGATATCGAGTATCAAGCTGACTATACTGTGAGTCGTCTGTATGTAACAGAGTATCAAGCTGACTATTCTGTGAGACGTCTGTAAGATATAGAGCATCAAGCTGACTTTACTGTGATATGTCTGTAAGATATAGAGCATCAAGCTGACTATTCTGTGAGACATCTGTAAGATATATAGAGTATCAAGCTGACTATACTGTGATATGTCTGTAAGATATAGAGTACAAAGCTGACTATACTGTGATCATGATATGTCTGTAAGATATAGAGTATCAAGTTGACTATACTGCGAGACATCTGCAAGATATAGAGTATCAAGCAGACTATTCTGTGAGACGTCTGTAAGATATAGAGTATCAAGCTGACTATACTGTGATATGTCTGTATGTAACAGAGTATCAAGTGTTTCTAACATGCTGTAACAGCCTCTCACAGCAAATGTTGGCAGAATGGAATGTCTTAATTTCAACAGATTCGACTGTTCCACATGTTGTTGTACACCTCCAGCGCTGTGACCAGTAAGGGAGACCTGGGAAGTGTACACCTCCAGGCACTGTTGCCAGTAAGGGAGACCTGGGAAGTGTACACGTGTTTGACTCATACAATCAAATTACTCATTTACAAAGCTGTTGTTACACCAATAACAAAGGCATTTGATTTTCAATCCTGCTGTTTTTGCTGCTGGAGGTTTGGTCTCCGAGACATACAGATATTAATCATTATTTACATAAATGCATCCACACTTTCAACAGACCTGACTCATACACATGCATGTGAAAAAGAACTTAATCTTAAACGTATAGTTTTAGTATTGGCAATGGACCATCATGTACAGTTTGTTTCAAGTGATTTCGTTCTGAAACCCTGCGTGGGCGACCACTGCAAGTGTCACTCTGGTGAAGGGGATTTAAGCCCCCTAGCGACCTCACCTGGACAATGTTAAGGATATGCTCCCCTACGTCCGGTTGAGTAGCATTGGGAATTCGAATTAGACAGTCAATCGGCAGTTAACTAATGTTCTGTACATTGGATATCACTGACAGTCCAGGTTGCCTGAATGCTATATATGCTGCATGCACAAGTATTTCATGAAATATATTATAGTATTCTGTATTTACCATTCTATTCCTGTGTTAATGTATTGGACCTACCCATCTATCCTGTATTTACCATTCTATTCCTGTGTTAGTGTATTGGACCTACCCATCTATTCTGTATTTACCATTCTATTCCTGTGTTAGTGTATTGGACCTACCCATCTATTCTGTATTTACCATTCTATTCCTGTGTTAATGTATTGGACCTACCCATCTATTCTGTATTTACCATTCTATTCCTGTGTTAATGTATTGGACCTACCCATCTATTCTGTATTTACCATTCTATTCCTGTGTTAATGTATTGGACCTACCCATCTATTCTGTATTTACCATTCTATTCCTGTGTTAATGTATTGGACCTACCCATCTATTCTGTATTTACCATTCTATTCCTGTGTTAATGTATTGGACCTACCCATCTATTCTGTATTTACCATTCTATTCCTGTGTTAATGTATTGGACCTACCCATCTATTCTGTATTTACCATTCTATTCCTGTGTTAATGTATTGGACCTACCCATCTATTCTGTATTTACCATTCTATTCCTGTGTTAATGTATTGGACCTACCCATCTATTCTGTATTTACCATTCTATTCCTGTGTTAATGTATTGGACCTACCCATCTATTCTGTATTTACCATTCTATTCCTGTGTTAATGTATTGGACCTACCCATCTATTCTGTATTTACCATTCTATTCCTGTGTTAATGTATTGGACCTACCCATCTATTCTGTATTTACCATTCTATTCCTGTGTTAATGTATTGGACCTACCCATCTATTCTGTATTTACCATTCTATTCCTGTGTTAATGTATTGGACCTACCCATCTATTCTGTATTTACCATTCTATTCCTGTGTTAATGTATTGGACCTACCCATCTATTCTGTATTTACCATTCTATTCCTGTGTTAATGTATTGGACCTACCCATCTATTCTGTATTTACCATTCTATTCCTGTGTTAATGTATTGGACCTACCCATCTATTCTGTATTTACCATTCTATTCCTGTGTTAATGTATTGGACCTACCCATCTATTCTGTATTTACCATTCTATTCCTGTGTTAATGTATTGGACCTACCCATCTATTCTGTATTTACCATTCTATTCCTGTGTTAATGTATTGGACCTACCCATCTATTCTGTATTTACCATTCTATTCCTGTGTTAATGTATTGGACCTACCCATCTATTCTGTATTTACCATTCTATTCCTGTGTTAATGTATTGGACCTACCCATCTATTCTGTATTTACCATTCTATTCCTGTGTTAATGTATTGGACCTACCCATCTATTCTGTATTTACCATTCTATTCCTGTGTTAATGTATTGGACCTACCCATCTATTCTGTATTTACCATTCTATTCCTGTGTTAATGTATTGGACCTACCCATCTATTCTGTATTTACCATTCTATTCCTGTGTTAATGTATTGGACCTACCCATCTATTCTGTATTTACCATTCTATTCCTGTGTTAATGTATTGGACCTACCCATCTATTCTGTATTTACCATTCTATTCCTGTGTTAATGTATTGGACCTACCCATCTATTCTGTATTTACCATTCTATTCCTGTGTTAATGTATTGGACCTACCCATCTATTCTGTATTTACCATTCTATTCCTGTGTTAATGTATTGGACCTACCCATCTATTCTGTATTTACCATTCTATTCCTGTGTTAATGTATTGGACCTACCCATCTATTCTGTATTTACCATTCTATTCCTGTGTTAATGTATTGGACCTACCCATCTATTCTGTATTTACCATTCTATTCCTGTGTTAGCGTATTGGACCTACCCATCTATTCTGTATTTACCATTCTATTCCTGTGTTAGTGTATTGGACCTACCCATCTATTCTGTATTTACCATTCTATTCCTATGTTAGTGTATTGGACCTACCCATACAGAGGACTGTATTGAAACATTTACATTATACAACAATCAGGAAAAAAAGTAATCTCACAATAAATCTATTTGTTCTTAGTCTGTAATCTTGAGGAAGAGGAGATGTTCCGATTTTTGTATAAGTTACCCTGCTTTCTTTTTTCTTTAAATATGACATATTATGTGAAATTACTCTTGGGTTTTTTAATATAGTAAATAACCTACATATTCAACTTACTATTTCCATGAGTTTATCCAGGACACCAATCTCTTCAGGAAGTGAGACCAGCTTATTGTGACTAGCAATCAGGACCTCCAGTTGGTGTAACTGGGATATAAACGTCGGGATCATGGACAGCTGGTTTCGACTGGAAAACACAAAATATCACAACATTTATATAGTCATTAAAATCTTACAAGAAGGCCCTAGTTCTTATAAAAGAAATCTGAAAAATCTTACCTCTAGTCATTTTATTTAGCTGAAGAATTTAGATTTGGGGACTTGAAGGGGAAAAAAGCATCAGAAAACATCCCCAGTTTCATTTACATTTGTAAGTCTATAAAGGAGTTCCATTACAATGAAGCCTTATTGCCTGCGGTGTACTCAATGCTGTAACGGTGTACCAAATGCTGTGACGATGTACCCAATGCTGTGACAGTGTATCCAATGCTGTAACAGTGTACCCAATGCTGTAACGGTGTACCTAATGCTGTAATGGTGTACCATATGCTGTTATGATGTACCTAATGCTGTGACAGTGTATCCAATGCTGTGACGGTGTACCCAATGCTGTAACGGTGTACCCAATGCTGTAACGGTGTACCCAATGCTGTGACGGTGTACCCAATGCTGTTACAGTGTACCCAATGCTGTTACGGTGTACCCAATGCTGTAACGGTGTACCCAATGCTGTGACGGTGTACCCAATGCTGTAATGGTGTACCAAATGCTGCCTGGTTCTATCAGTGTGGCCTTATCAACTCCAAACATAAACAAATCACCCAAGACCAACACCTTGATATTCACAAGCTTCTCTAAAACAAGGCTGGCATTCTTGTTTACAGATTCTCAATTAGCAGTTTCCCAAGTAACCAAATTATTTCTAACCACAATTCTACATTTACAGGAAGTATTAAAATACATACAGAAAGAAAAAATCTGTTTGCCCTTTAATTACTTACAGATAACCATTTCAGACTCAGGCCTAGCTAATTACTTACAGATAACCATCGCAGACCCAGGCCTAGCTAATTACTTACAGATAACCATTTCAGACCCAGGCCTAGCTAATTACTTACAGATAACCATTTCAGACCCAGGCTTAGCTAATTACTTACAGTTAACCATTTCAGACCCAGGCCTAGCTAATTACTTACAGATAACCATTTCAGACCCAGGCCTAGCTAATGACTAACATATAACCATTTCAGGCCCAGGCCTAGCTAATGACTTACAGATAACCATTTCAGACCCAGGCCAACCATTTCAGACCCAGGCCTAGCTAATGACTAACAGATAACCATTTCAGACCCAGGCCTAGCTAATGACTTACAGATAACCATCTCAGACCCAGGCCTAGCTAATGACTTACAAATAACCATTTCAGTCCCAGGCCTAGCTAATTACTTACAAATAACCATCTCACACCCAGCCCTAGCTAATTACTTACAGATAACCAACTCAGACCCAGGCCTAGCTAATTACTTACAGATAACCATCTCAAACCCAGGCCTAGCTAATGACTTACAGATAACCATCTAAGACCCAGGCCTAGCTAATTACTTACAGATAACCATCTCAGACCCAGGCCTAGCTAATTACTTAGCACTAATGTGGATACGTATTGTGTTGACACTTCCCAGTCTGATGATATCAAGTATACTAATGTGGATACATAACTCCTCATAGTTTTCCGTTGTGTTTACAGTGGACACAAATTAGTCATTATTTCAATGGTTCCATGTCAAAGTTACGATAGGCTTACCTTGAAACAAAAACTCTTAATTTCTCCCTTTATACATATCAGTTTTTGATTTTTATGAGCCTGACACAAAGATAAGATTTCAGATTTCAAACTGAACTTTTTTCCCATTTTACATTTTAAAAGTAAAGTCGTTTAAAATGAAACAACTACATTCAAACTTTTTCCTGAAAATTTTTGTCATGATGACAACATTTTGTCTTAAACTGAATAAAATACACATTTAATTTAGCTTCCGATTGTAAAACGTGTTTCTGGGCGAGTAGAATTACAGTAACTTATTGTCTCAGGCTGGACGTATTCTCCATTCTTTATACCCCTGAGAGTTTGTATTGGACATGAAATCATCCTTATCATATAAATATCATACAGATGTAACAAAGTTGAGACATTAGTGAGGAGCTATGTACCATTAGCCGTGACAAACTTTGGTACTACTCATTTATAATTCCTCAGTAACGTTTTATGATACAGCTATAGTATCTATCACACAGCAACATACATACAGAGTATCAATGACCCGATACATCATCCCTGACCAGTCAAACAAGGCTTCTATCTCTGGCATTGTCACCTAACAGAAAACCATTTTCAGCATCATCCCAACTTTGTATAAAACATATAGTTAATCTGTGTAATCTGATACCCAAACATTCAAACAGTATGTCTAGTTCAACATAACTATGTGCTTCCATCTTTGAGTTATCAAATAAAGAATGATGTATTTGGTGATCTTGTCTGATCCTCTAGATCTTCAGACCATTATATATAGCTACATTCCACAAGGTGTTGGATAAGGCAGGTTTTACTACCTATTAATGATGCTCTTCAACCTCATGATCGTCCCCAAACTGATACAATACTTTTACACGTATCACTGACCTCTCAAACATTTATAGAAAATCAACTGATTGTTTCATCTGTGGAATCCATTTAAGTCTGGAAAGATAATATGGCTGATTTAGCCTACCATCAAACAACCAGAGCCAGAAATAACATTAAAACATGTCATTGTTGATAAAAACAAAGGCGTGGCTCCACAACCCCCACACATTAGACCTGAACAATTGGGAAATCATTCTCCAGGTTGTGCTTGAATGCTTATCGTATCAGCACTGAGATGGTAGCTACTGTAGCAGACTTTGGCAGCATCACCTATCTGTATCCCTCGCCTTTGAGATACCACCAGTGATGAAAACCACCTGTTTGTAATGCTGTTTTTATTTTGATGCAATAAATGCTTTTTTGCCCTATTGCTTTGATTGTTTGTCATCTTTTCTCTGACTAAGCTACTGTTGTGTATTGGCAGACAGTAAGAACCTGGGAACTATGTAACCTATATAACACATCACTGGTGCTGTCAGTACAACACATCACTGGTGCTGTCAGTGTCACTGGTGCTGTCAGTACAACACAAATGGTGCTGTACAGTACAACACATAACTGGTGCTGTACAGTACAACACATCACTGGTGCTGTCAGTACAACACATCACTGGTGTTATCACTGCTGCTGTACAGTACAACACATCACTGGTGCTGGCAGTGTCACTGGTGCTGTCAGTACAACACAAATCGTTCTGTACAGTACAACACATAACTGGTGCTGTACACTACAACACATCACTGGTGCTGTCAGTACAGCACATCACTGGGGCTGTCAGTACAACACATCACTGGTGCTGTACGGTACAACACATCACTGGTGCTGTCAGTACAACTAATCTCTGGTGCTGTCAGTACAACACATCACTGGTGCTGTCAGTACAGTACATCACTGGTGCTGTCAGTACAGCACATCACTGGTGCTGTCAGTACAACACATCACTGGTGCTGTCAGTACAACACATCCCTGGTGCTGTCACTACACACCATAGTACATCAATCATCTCCTTTACCAATTGTCCTTTGAACTCTTAGTACATTTATTCTGGGCACCCTGTGCAATATTGTGTTTTATGTTGTTTTTGTCATTTTGCTTCTCTTATTGATTTGTGTTTATACTTTTATTTCTATTATTGAGGTACAAACATTAAGTTCTGCGCAATAGGATCATGGCTCAAACTAAATACTGTCACCAAACCCTTACACAATACCGAAATCTCTTAAGGACAGAAAGAAGCAGAATAATACCTCGGGTCTATTGTAAACAAGGCAAAGTTTTGTAAAGCATTCAAAACTAGCCACCAGTAATGCTTTCTTTAGTTACCGAGCCATACATCTATCTCAGGATATATATAGGTCACAGTGACCTACTTTTTATACCCCTCACTCCATCAGCCAAGATATACTTCCATACCACATCTGGTTACTCCAGGTGAAATAGTATAGAAGATATGCCCCACACAAACTTTTTCAAGGTCAAAGGTCAATTTATAGATCACGGTGACTTTTTGTACTTGAAACTCTACCATACCAGGATTTACATTATACTCAAAAGTAAAAATGCACCATCAAAACAGAAGATACAACATCAACATTCCTAGGAGTTGCAAATGATAAGCCTATCCTACAAATATATGCTGATGGGAGATAGCATTCTTGTTTATCAAAAGGGAGTTGTTCTGTGGCAAGAATGCAGTGTCTGACACACACACGCTATGAGTGCATTAATTATAACAAACCAACACAGTGCACCAGGGACCACCTCAAATCATCACAGATTCTATCACAAGCACCAGGGACCACCTCCAATCATCACAGGTTCTATCACAAGCTCCAGGGACCACCTCAAATCATCACAGATTCTATCCCAAGCACCAGGGACCACCTCAAATCATTACAGATTGTATCACAAGCGCCAGGGACCACCTCAAATCATCACAGATTTAATCACAAGCACCAGGGACCACCTCAAATAATCACAGGTTCTATCACAAGCACCAGGGACCAGCTCAAATCATCACAGATTCTATCACAAGCCCCAGGGACCACCTCAAATCATCACAGATTTAATCACAAGCACCAGGGACCACCTCAAATCATTACAGATTGTATCACAAGCGCCAGGGACCACCTCAAATCATCACAGATTTAATCACAAGCACCAGGGACCACCTCAAACCATCACAGGTTCTATCACAAGCACCAGGGATCTCCTCAATTCATCACAGATTCTATCACAAGCTCCAGGGACCACCTCAAATCATCACAGATTCTCTCACAAGCACCAGGGACCACCTCAAATCATCACAGATTCTATCCCAAGCACCAGGGACCACCTCAAATCATTACAGATTGTATCACAAGCGCCAGGGACCACCTCAAATCATCACAGATTCTCTCACAAGCACCAGGGACCACCTCAAATAATCACAGGTTCTATCACAAGCACCAGGGATCTCCTCAATTCATCACAGATTCTATCACAAGCTCCAGGGACCACCT